TTAAGGTTGAAGTAATAATAAAAATTTTGTGGTATAACGGGTGGAGGGATTCTTTAAGGGAAGTTGGAAATGTTTTTATATATGATTAGGGCTATTTTCTCCTCTTTTTAGTGTTTTTTTTTCTTACTTTTGGGGGGAGATTGAAGGATTATAGATGGGATATATTTGAGTGGTAATATTTTTTGTTTAGTAGTTGTTTTTATTTATAAATTTATATTTTAATGATACTATTAATTATATGAAATGAAAATTTTCTTTATGTTAATTAGGAAAGGATTATTGTTTAAATTACATATATAGATATAATAGTGTTTTTAATTATGTGAATTTATTTTTTTTCTTGTTAGTTCGTTTAAGGATTAGGTAGATTATAAATTAGTATAGTTGTAATACTTTATTTAGAGTTAAAGGGGTGTGTAGATTGTTAGCATTATAATTGTTTTAATTGGATTAATGATTGTAGAAGAATTATGGAAATATGAACTTGATCCTGTATTCAGCTCCGGGAAGCCGAGGAGGGTATGGGGGGAAAGCTAAAGTTAATGTATTGTGTATATTGGAAGATGTATATTTTACAAAAAAATAAAAAATTTTACAAGAAGAAATCTACAATAACAAAATAAAAATAAAATATACAATCTGATAATTGACTTAAGCTTTAAGTCATAATTTATGAGAATTATGCAAAATTTATGAGAAGTTTTATGAACAAAAACCTTTGAAAACTCAGAAAAATTGCAAAAATTCTTTGAGTGTTCTATAAAAACTCAAGAAGCAACTGGGGCTATAAACCATCCATCTTGCAATTTGAAGCAACTCAGTGGATACAATATCTGCTTCTTTGCTTCATTACCATAGGATAAATCTTTAAACAGCCCTTATGATGGATTACTGATTATGCCAGCCACAAATTATTTCAAGGCCTCTCGGAGTCAATCTCATTTTTAAGAAGACTAGTGCAGTAAGTCCATTGCCTCTGTATAGGTGTAGCCATGAATCTAACCTTAACCAGGTGTCAGTTTTATCTTGCCAGTGAGAAAACATGAGTTCCCCACCCATCGCTCCTTGATCATAAAAATACTAAACTCATTGGATGATCTGCTTCAGGTATTGGCAGAGGACGAAAAAGTTTGCATGGTTGCTATGAAGTGAGCTGCTCTAGGCTCCGAAAGCACATTATAATCTCCAGCCCAGCAAGCCTAAGAGTATCTGACAGTTTGATCAAGGATTGGATTAGGCATTGAGTGGGCATACACTGACAGAACCCCAAATTTGTCCCTGCTCCTGAGGGCCAATTAGCCCACCCCAAGAGATAGATGCTGGGTTAAAAAAACACTGCTATGCTGTCGGCTGGATCTCAGCTAGTAAGTGATGACGATCCTGTCTTAATGCCAAACAGGCTGTAGACCAAGTGATGGGGATGGCAGTTCTAAAAAAATATCTTCCTTCTGCAGTTTCTGCCTTATTTTGTGTTTGTTGCCAATGTGTGTCTTGAAATATTTGGGTGAGTGAAAATCACAGTTCAACATTGCATGTTACATAAAATATAAAAGGGAATAACTCATTAATACAGCCCTTAAGGTACTCTTTTCTCAACAAGAGACCAGTAGCATCCCAACTCTACTTTGAGGAGTTTCACTTTAATGAATTCAAGCAGATACAGTATGTGGTGCATGAATTCTGAAAAGTTGGCTTTACTCCAACAAAGTGCTTGGCTTTCTGGAGGAAAAACAATTCTCACAGAGGTAAGGAAGCACTGTGATTTGCTTCAATAAGGCTCATGGCTGCTTCCCAACCTCGACCCTTTCCCACACAAAGATGGAAAGACATCGCAGCAGGGAAATTGTCCAATGGAAAGAGATGGTGATCGGCATCTGGACTGAATAGTTTGCAGGTTGTTGCCAAAGTGTCTCAGTCTGGACAGTTTTTTCTTAAGCTGAAAGGAACATAGGGCAGGAGTAGCTTAAATGGCAAATGTAGAAATGCCCTCTGTGTGATTTGCACCTGGAAAAAGGTTCATTTTGGCTCAAGGCAACTCCCCAAGGGCTTATCTACATTGTCCGTTTGCCCTGTTTCCAGAACAAGCAAGGCAACCATTTCTGGAGAACATAAATGGACAATGTTTTTCTCTATTACCTCTCTCCTTGGCAAAGCAACCAATGTGCACATTTATGACCAAAATGTCCCCTGCCTGTCAACAAAAGCCTTCAGTGTGAAACTGATTAAAGTCTGGTCAGTTTCAAGCATCAGGCTGTGCATAAAAGTAGCTTAGGAAGGGAAAGCTTCTTGAAGCAATCTCTCTGCCTTGCAAGGGGTCAAAAAAGAGACACGTGAAATAGTCAGCTATACAGATTTGATTAATAAATAACATTTTAAAAATGGATCAGGACACAGAAGAGAATTTATCTGAATGAGAAGAAAGCAATCAGTGATCTTCATATCTCTCTCCTCTCCTCTCTTCTCCCTCCCCCCTCTCTCTCATGTTTTTTCATTTAGCAACCATTTTGCATAACGGCCAAGTTGTTGGAATGGACATAGTCTTCCCTATGTTTTTTAATGCCTAGTAATGCACTGTCTTATAATTTTGGCAGTAATTTGCTCTCCAAGCTTGTCTCAGTTTAGTTTCTGAATATTTTGTTACCAAACTAGGTAACATCAGCAGCAGGAATTTCTTTCCTATTCCTCTTTAGCTAATATAAGTCCTGTGTCGTATAATTTTTCCAATCACTTTCCAATAGAAGATTTTCACCCTTAGCTCCCAAATTGTCTAAATAAACATTATCTAGCTGTTCAAGGCAGGCAAAAAAGTAGGAAACAGTTTTAAGCTTTTGAAGCTCTGGCTACTGTTTTAAGTTCCATTTGATGTGTAATAAATAAGACCAGATGGCAAAATCCATTTTTTATAGAATCATGTTTTATTGTAAAAAGCACCACCACAATGAAATGTGAAGACTTTCAAAACCTCATTTAAACTTTATTTAAAAGTTTATTTAAAAGTTCTTTTGTAAAGATTTCCTAGAAACAAAATAATTAAAAAAAAGAATTCCCACCCCAGCAAAAAATATTAAAAATTATAAAACACACTACATTGGAGGATTACTAGAAACCTTCTACGCCATATTTTAAAAACTCTTGAACTTGGTTGTTAGTCCCAGCAGTGTAATAGTACTGGCAAATGCTGCATTTGTCATTGGTGTGATTGATCACACATACATAAAGGAAGATTGATATAAAGTCTAATCCAGCAAGAGTAAAAGTACAATGAAAAGTTGACTCCTTTTTTTCAGAACAGACATCTAACGTTATGTTCAGTTATGACAATGATAAACACAAGTATATAACAATGGCAGTGTTTGTTCCCCACATTCTTTTAGAATCTTTACAATAGCCAAAATAGGTATGCTGGTAGAATTCAAAGTAAACTCTAATTTGTTGAATCAAATAAAATTGGTGGTGGGTAAAATAGTACATACTGTAGAAATTATAGAGTATATCCCAGACACAATGAGCATTCAATCCACAAACATTTTAGCACCATATTGATAAAATCATGCAGCAAAACACTTTCTTCAAGATTTGTGCAGAAAGTAAAGCAGAAATAGCACAGTGCAAGGGAGCCTTATACCCTTAGCTTCTACATGGGGTATGTTGGCAATGGCTGACTCCTGGTTTTCTTAGAGGTATCTGTTGATATTTTGCTGTAATTAAGTTCCAATCATTGTCACAACACCAGACTTGATGTGAGCTAGAAAATGAAGAATATTTTATTAAAATTTCATTTCTAAAATATTTGCATGAAAATATTGTCTGATGAATTTAACAGAACACATAAAGATAGGCAAGAATTTTGAAGTAGGCCATAAATTGCTGTTTTTTAAAGCAGCTCCAGGACTGGCTGCATAGAGTAGGCTGTGATGAGGAATGCCATCTCACCCTCAGTCTTGAACTGCAATCTAGATGACTTCTGTACATGCACCCCTGGGCAGACTTTCCTTTCTCATTTATCTAAATCTACGTAATCACAAAGACCTCAGAAACTATATTAATATACACTATGGAAAACTGAGCAACTTTATGACACCAAACATGCTTACAAGAGTACTATCTTTTAAAAATTAATTTCTTGTCTATGATTCAGATTTTGATTTAATACAGCAAACAACTAGAAATATTTTGGCACTACATTTTAGGACTTGGCAATACAATATCTATGACTTCTGTCTGCATATTACCATATAAACAATGCCATGTAAGTGAAAAATAGCATAATTATTTTACAGACCTATTAATCATTTGCTCTTAGAAATAAAAGCATGCAGTTAAACAATTATCTATCTGTTACCTGAAACACAGACTTTTTCACAGTCTTTCTGTGTGTTAAATCTATTTTCATTTCCACCACAGTTACCATACCAAAATCTAGCACAACTTGCGGTCTCTGGATCAAAATACCATTTTAGAACAAAATTACTGCAAGGACCACCTTCTTTCTTCAACTGGCAGATATCTGTGACTGCAAACCAAGAGACAAAGAATCAGTACATCACTTTGTGTAAAAAAAACAACAACACTCTATGTGAATGTTCTCCACCATAAAGTTCACACACGTTCACTTGAACATGACGATAAAGCTTTTCTAGTGACAATGAGCATGCTTCTTTCAGGAACAGTAATACATATAACACATATAAAGTAGTAATTCAGTTTTACTATATACAGCAGCATGCAGAATTAAAAGAAAACAAAGGATGATCTGTTGTAAAGCAGAGAAATCACCCCCAAAGTAATACAAATTAAGGCCAATAGAATTCCTGGAAGGTATCTTACAAAGAACTTTAGGTCTTGCTTTGTCCTACCTTTAAACAAGGAGTTATGGAATTAAAGTATATAGAAATTCCAAGTAAAAATAGACATAGAACAGTTCAATTTAAAAAGCCCAAACTTCAGAAATATACAATGTGCTCCTGATAACGATGATTTTGCAAGTATCCATTCTTGATGGGACTGCCCTTTAAGCTACAACTGCATTCCCTTAGAACAGGGGAGCTGCATGCGGCTCTTTCATCCCTCCACCGCTGTGTGCAGTCCCATAAACAAAAGAAGTGGGACTAAAAAAGTTCAATCAATCAATTTCAACTTCTTGCAGAAAAAAAAGATCTTGTGAAGTTGGAATTGATTGATTGAACTTTTTTAGTCCCACTTCTTTTGTTTGTAGGACTGCCCACAAACTTCTTTTGTTTGTGGAACTGCATGTGGCGGCAGAGGAAGTGCCAGAGGACTGCGATGGAGCTGGAAAGAACGTGCCACATGGGTCCAATCAGGGGCATGGAGGGAATGGTTCTGCCAAGGATCTTGTACAGATCCAGGGAAATGGGCCGGGTGGGGGGAGCTGCCAATGCCGCTGCCATGAGGCTTGGCAAATCCCCCTGAGCGGCCATGATCCCCCCTCCCCAGCCAGCCAGCCTCCATTGCCCAATCTACTCCTCACCTGGCCGGCCTGCCTCACACTCTTCTCCTCATCCTCCCCACTCAATCGGCCGCCAGAAGTTTGGGTGGCTCTGCTCTATCTGAGTTGAAGAAAGCAGAATTGCTCTCAAAAAATAAGAGCTGGGTGCACTGCTCGCTCGTGTGCGCCTGCTTTATCCCACTGCTGCTCCTCTGCTTTCTTTAACTTGGACGGAACAGAGGCACCCAAGACGCTGGCGGCCGATTGAGTTGGGAGGACAAGCTTTGCTGCTGCTGCTGCTGGGCCACGCCTGGGCTGCCGGTGGAATTGCTGAGACCACCTCGCTTGTTTAGGGGTCAGTTTCTTGGGCATTTTTAGGGCTTCCAGGTTCTTGTGGTCGGTCCATACCGGGAAGGGGATTTTGTTCCCTTCCGGGAAATGCTGCTAAGTTAGGAGGGCCCATTGGACGGCATAAGCCTCCTTCTCCCAAACTACCCATCTATGCTCTGTCTCTGTGAGTTTCCTCAATGTGTACACACAAGGCTGTAGTTTCATCATTCTCTTGCATTAATACTGCCCCCACAGCCATATCACTAGCATCAGCTTGAATCACAAATGGTTTGTCAGCGTCAGGGTGTCTTAAGACTGGTCCGGCGGAAAATAACCTTTTCAATCTTTCTAATGTGGTTTGGCACTCTACCATCCATTTTAAAGGTTGGCTGGGCTTCAGTTTCCTCTCCCTTTCGGTTTTCAGTAGGTTACTAATTGGCAATGCAATTTGCCTCCCAAACTCCACCTTCACCACTGGGTGAAGCAGTGGCGGAGTGTTCCATCCTGGGGGGGGGGAAGCAGAGGTGGCAGTGGAGCGCTCCGTTGGAGGGGTGAACAGTGGCTGGCAGTGGGGAGCTTCGTGTGCGGGGAGCGCTCCGTGTGGAGGGGGGAAGCAGCAGGGTTTTGTGGCTCCTGGTGTTTTGTTTTCTGTGGGAAACGGGTTCCAAATGTCTCTTTGAGTGTTTAAGGTTGCCGACCCCTGCCTTAGAGTGTGGTAATGAATCAGGGTTTGCAGATGTGTATATCCCAATCAACAAAGGGTGAGGTGAGAGAAATGTTATTAGTTCTGATATTGCTTCATTCATTTCTTAAGTCAGCTAGACTTTTACATTCTGCTTAAGCAATATCAGATCTACCCACACTTTGTTTGTACATTAAGCACAATAGATTCAGTGTATTGCTTTATAAATATTACCCATAAACATGTGATATATGTAATAGCCATCAGGATCTTGGCTAATCTGAGAAAAAAAATCTAAGATGGTCTTATTTGCTTAGTCTTTAGTTGAGAGACAATCAGAAAATCCCAGAGTGACTGAGAAGTCAAAGAAATGTTTTGGAAGAAGGCAATGGCATACAGCAAAGCATTTTTACACAGCTGCCAAGAAAACTACATGTACGTGCCTCTATAGTTGCCAGAAATTGTGTTCAAATCCAGGAAGGCTCTCTCTGTATATGTGCATGTGTATTCAGTACAATGGAATCCAGATCAAATATAATTAATCAAACAAGTTACACACATTGCCTTCCTATTCTGTGCTTGTTTTAAATACCTTTTTAGTTTTTAATAACATCAAGATAAATGATGTAAGCCTGTGTTTTCTTAAGTCTAAGAGTTACTTAATGATTCCTGAAAGGTAGGTCAAACTTAACCATTTCATTAAATAATTATTTGCATCATTCTAATTTTCAGCTGTCTGGGTTAAATTTCCAAATGATGGAAAAAAGGAGGCCTTTAAAGTATTTCTGCCAATTGCTTATGATGCCATGGTAATATTTCTAGAAATAATGTTATTGTGCTGGCACTTTGATATTATTGTCATCATCATAAACTGCTGATCTTTTTAATGGCCTGCTCACTGATGCTGTCCAATTTGGTGTTCCTTTGAGCCTAATTAACACATACATTTGAGAAATGACCCAGCCTCTTCATACAAACAATATTACCTCCGAGTCCACATGGGATTTTTTAAAAAAATACCTAAATAAATTCAGTGCCATGTTTTATTTGTTATACTTGTATATCATTGAAATATAAAATGAATTGTTCATTTTTCATATAAAAAGAAACTTAGATTAAATCTCTTGTCATGTATTTTTAATATGGAGGCGGGTAACTTTGAAGATCTTTCAAATACATTTTGAGCTAATACATCCACATCAGATAAATAAAATCTGGAATGATCCAAAGCCTAATGTTTTTTTAAAAAAGAACATTTAGGTGTATCATTCAAAACAGAATGACTTCCTTGCAGATGGACAAGACACCAACACCATCCTAATTTGCATTAGTTTGCTAACATTGCAGAAATCAGGACATACATTTCTTAATTTAAAAGAAATCCATGGCGAGATATATTCTACTTGAGAAAAAGAAAAGTCTCACTCATAGACATATCCTACCTAGACTATGATGGGACATTTTCCTCGATTCAAAAGACATCCATGAAACCAGGAATAGTTTACACTTGCTATTTATTCCCTTAAAAAAGAAATAAATCAACATCAATTATAGAGCTGCTCAGTGCTCCCAGTTTGAAGGCAAAACGATTCTAATGTTAATGCTCTCAGCAACTTCTTAACCAAAGATAGTTTTCCCAGCAGAGCCTGGCAGCTACAGACAGGTAATGCTAGGAAAAGGCCTGACTGCTAACAGGTGCTGTCTTCAGATCCCATGTGCTTTACAGCACCTTTTGGCTCCTGAATTTTAGTGGGGCACAGTCTACAAAATATACGGCACCATCAGGACTTGGATAAGTTGCAGGTATATTATCTAGTGGAAGAATACTTTCTGGAGACTGAAAGAAGAATAGACTCCTTTGTTTATTTAAAGCAGTTCTATAGGAAAATGTGTGGCTAAAAATATTTGATGTGAGTAAAGACATTTCAAATTTTGAAGTGATTTGCAGAGAGCAGGCTGCTGGTATGAAAATAAGCAAAATAGGCTTTTCTGGGAGAAAATATAATTGTGTCAATTGGGTGGAGTAGAGGTAGCCCTTGGTTAATGACAATGATTGGGAGTAGGAATTATGTTGCTAGGTGATACAATTGTAAAGTTCAACACATGACCATGCCAACTTATGATGGCAGTTGTAGCAGTCCCAGTTGTAATCACCAGGCACATCACGTGATCGCTACTTGAGACTTCCTACTGGCTTCCTGACCTTGCTTGTGAGAAGCTGACACTGAAGATCACAAGTAGCGATCACATGATCCCAGGATGCTGCAACACTGTTAACTGCGAGCTGGTTGTCATATGACCCACAGGGATACCGCAAAACAACTGCAATTTCAAGGATTGGCTGCCAGTCTCCTTGTTCAGCACCATCATAACTTTGAACAATAGCTAAACAAATGGTTGTTAACTGAGGACTACGTGCAATTATCCATGTAGAAAAAGTATCTGTGAACTTCTCTATGAGCATGAAGAGCAACATTCTTTAGAAATCATTTTCTCTTTCTATCTTCTGTTACTTTTTTTCTTTCTAGCACTTTTTAAAGTTTATTTTTCTTTTTAGTTTATATTATCTTTTATTATAGTTATAATTTTAATAAAAGTATTATTTTTTAAAAAAATCTTTAAATAACAGTTGGTAAAAAGGTGTGTCTTTTCCTCACATGCATATTTGTGCCTTAGAGCCTCCTGCTGAATCCTCTGAGATATTCTATACCATGCTAAGTAAATGAGAGAAGAGAAATATTTGTGTCTCTACTTCTTTCACCAGTAAATGCTTCTTCCTTTTTTTACAAGGATTGCAGGGAAAATAAACAATCTTACATTTTCAAGAAAGTTAAAGCTAAATGGAATCACATAGAAAAATAACAGCTCTCAAAAGAAACCAGCCTGGCTACATAAAGACCTCTCTGATAAATTGAAAGATAAAAAGGACAAGTATAGAAAGTGGAAAGAGGGGCACATAACTAAGGCAGAATGTCAGCAAATAGCCCGAGCCTGCAAAGATGAAGTGAGGAAAGCTAAGGCTCAAAATGAACTAAAGCTTGCGACCAAAGTCAAA